AATACAAAAATGGGATGCGGGTGCCACTGGTTCATGAAGGCTTCGAAGTCTTTAGCTAGCGTTTGGCCATAGATCCCAAATTTATTTTGAAAAATCTGATTTGGGTGAAGTTTGGTTTGAAGATGAAAATGTGTTTGGACATACGATTTCAAAACATATTTTTCAACTTTATTTTGGGAAAACATGTATATAATTCCCAAATTTTGGAAATTTGGCCCAAATTCAGCTTATTAGCTGATTTGAAATTTCAAATATGTGATTTGAGTTTTGGCCAAAATGTGGGTCAAATTTATGGCCTATTGACGCATTAATGCTCTGTGTTGCAGCTGCTGCTTTTCATTTTCGTTGTTCCAGTTCTTTTTTCTTTTTCCTTTTTTATGCTCTAGGCCTCACCTCTCTTTTTCTTCCTTTTATTTGATATATTTCCCTCTTTCTTGTTCTTCTTCTTTTTTCTGCTTCTTCGTTTCTTTAAAAAAATTTATTGCATTAATCTTCCTTTTCTTCCCTACAAGTATACTTAGTTGAAAAGCAATTTCTTTCGTAAGCCATTTGAATTGATTTTAGTTAATATATAGCATCTCTTTTTAGATGATGCAACATTAATCTATATATATTGGAGTATAATTGAGCAATATCACTCTCTTCTATTGACTTTTTTTTTTTTTTAAAAAGGCTCGAGTTGTAGACATTTTTGAGTAGATTCTCATGGATTGAAAATTTGAAGCTTTTGCTTTGCATAGAATTGCTATACAAACTTGGGAATTAAAATGATAAAATGAACTCGAGAATAAGGAAGGTAAATTATTCTAGTTAAACAAATTATTTGTAGAAATTAAGCTATTTTTAAGCAAATTTTATAATTGGAGGTGCTATTTCATTAAAAAAAATTGCAATTTTCTTTCATAATATAATTTACATTAAATCTTGAAAAAAAGTAACTAGACAAAATAAAACTTATTTATTTATGTATGTGAATAAAAGGCTTAATCAATCTAACTAGAATAACAAAATTCTTATTGAAGCGATGCGCCTTTTTATTCGGTGTTTGTGGCTAGAGGTAGATATACGATTTGCATAATGAGTGGCACCCCCAACCTCTAAATCCTGGATCCGCCTCTGACAACACTTCACTATATCAACAAAAAATATTAAAACAAACGAGGCTGTAATAGAAAGGTTTGACTGTGTAATAAAAATGTATATACAAGACTACAGAACTCAACATATGAGAATTTGCTCACATTGTCGGTCTCATGTTCGAATAAAAGAGGAGAGTTGCGGCTATTTCATGATAAATCTTCACAATATAGATTTTATGTACTATCGGTCTAATTAATATATTTAAACGAAAAAATATGATTAGTAAGGATTCATATAACGATTCAATTTCTCTGAGACTACAACGTAGTTGTGCAATAGATGACAACTACGCCAAGTTCTCTTATTAGTGACTAATATTAGTATATATATTTTTTCCCTCTAATATTAGTATATCACTCCATGTTTTTTTAATGTGATACCATCTGACTAGACGTGTAACTTAAAACATTAGTATGACCCTTTTTAAATTATCATAAAAATGTAATTAATTTTCTTTTGAGTACGCTAACGAAACACACATACAAAGATACTACACACTTGTATAAATTATGTGCATGTAGTTAAATGTATACACTATAAAGCTGCAGGGAGAGCTACCTTTCCAACTACGACTGATTGATGAATAGTATGTAAAGCTTTTTGCATGAAAGTGAGCAAAAGCCAATGCAAGTCAAGGGAATTAGATTCTAACTCCACCAACGTCTCTTCTAGCCACTTCTTTTTAAAAATAATAAATTACTCCCTCCGGTCCAAAATAAGTGATTTTTTGGCCTTTTTCTTGTAGTCCAAAATAAGTGATTTTTCCAGATTTCAAGAATGAATTAATTATTTTTTTCCTACATTGTCCTTGGAGAAAATAGTGTTGGAATATGTGTTAGGAGTGTTTATGTGAGATAGTAAAGTTAATATGGTCAATTCCATTGCTAATTAATGTTAAAAGGTGGATTTCTTAATCTGTGTGAAAACATCCAAAAAATCACTTATTTTGGACCAGAGGGAGTAGTACTCTACGAACAGATCCCATCTTCAAGATATTATAAACTTCTGCCTATAATCAAACCTCTCTATAACGGTTATGTTTGTTCCGACATTTTTTGAATGTTATAGTAAAGTGCTATTATAGAGGACATATATTATAACATAACATAAAAATCGATTCTAAGAAAAACTTGACTTCTATAAAAAATGACAGTTATGTAGGAATATTGTTATATATAGAGAGGTCTGACCGTATAATATTTGATTTAAATTCCAGATCAGATGTACCAGAAAATATTGAAAAAAAACATTAGAATTTTGGTCATGCACGTGCATTATTGAATTTGGTATATACGTAATGTGTAATATTCTGTTAAAGTGTAGAATGTCAAATCTCAAATGCATGGCCTTTCGTTTCATACATGCTTTTAGCTAATTAACTCTGATTTATATATACTAATAACACTAAAAAAATTGCATGTCAGGCATCGAATATACTCATGCATTATATGCTAGCCCTTTTTTTTCCCAATTTATAAATCTTGCCCTTTTCCCCTTGTTTTCCATTTCTTTTTGTGTTGTTTGTTTATCACTGTGTATGATTCGACCTGTTATTGACTAATTAAAACAAATCTTTTTGCTTTTCCTTTTTCCAGTTTTGTTGCTTATGTTCGGATAATCACAAAAGGTAGAATTCTTCTAACACCAACATGTTTAATATTTCGGAATATGTAAAAAGAGTGATAGTAATTAACTGTTTCTTTTAGTGAAAGAATTTCCAGTACTTTAATTTATTGTATAATGTGAAACTCTTTGTGCACAAACATATCCACTGCTTTCAGATGAATTTATGTAATAAAAAGAAGTTGAAAAAAAAGTGAAAGAAAATAAAGGAATATTATGTACTATATATGTAAGTACAGCGGCAAGACGAAACCATCTTTGTGAAAATTCAACAAATCTTTATAGGAAGGATTCTACAGGATATCCTTCAAGAAAAACTCTGTCAAAACACTTCACACTAGCTATTAAGAGTATTTTTAATTTTTTTTTAATATATCTTTTACCTACGATATCAGACTTTATTCACGTACATAACCATCATTTTCACCTTCCTGTACCTAGAAAAGAAAGAGAGAGTGAGAAAGAAAAAACATAGCTAAAAACCCCACACCCAATGGTATGAAAAAGCATGTCAAAAAACATTCTGCCATACGAATTCGTCGCCGATATTACGATAGAATATTACTAGTATAATTGAGAAAACATCATCTTAGACTAAACAAGAGGAATATTGATAGTAGAATTGAAATAAAAAACAATACTTTAGCACTAAATTAATAAAGGAGGGATATGAGAATGAAAAGTGGTCTAGTAGATGGGGTCAAATGTGGCAGCTAGGTCTAGATATAATTAAAATAAAATAGAGACCACAAGAATCTAATGAAAGTGAAAGATTGAAAGAAGACTGCATCTCTTGTCGTTAGCTTTAGAGGCTAATAAGGACCCTCTCTCCCATTTCTTTCATTGCTTTTTTCCACCACCTCATATCAATACAAACACCATAACCCCATTATCTCTTCTCACTTTTTCCTTAACGCGTTTGCATGTCTTCCTAGTTTTCATGGATTAGGGTTTTCTTTAACTTTATTTTCTATTTTATTGTGTTTCCTCGTAAACTTTAGACAATACTCACCTTATGAGCTTCATGGTATAGAGTTAGATTCAGCCCAGTCAGAGGCGAATCCAGGATTTTAATTCTATGGGTTCAACCTTTACCATTCTTAGTATTGAACGAGTTATATTTTTAAAGTTATGAATTCAGACCCACTATATGTATAATTTTAATGAATTTTTACACTAAATTTATACTTCGTATCGATACAGGGTTCGGATGAATCCGGTACTGTAATACTACATACGCCTTTGATGACAATCATAATTTACCAGATTAATGGACTTCTATCTTGTATTGCCATGCTCTAGATGTCCAGTCAGGAACGTACAAGAGGTGTTGAGTTCCCATATCGGTGAGTGATGAGTTATTTGGGCTCCTTATATCATTTCGAACAATTACCCCATGAGCTGACTTTTGAGGTTAAGTTATATCAAATATTCATTTTCTTAATACAAGCTTTCATTATTTTATTATTTAGTTAAAATTATGTGAATTTACAGCTAGCTAGTTGACATATAATAATAGGTGACTCTCTATCGCAAACAAGTTGACCTACCAAAATAGGTGATTCTCTGTATTATAATTTCATCGTGTAAATTTTGATTAATTGGGCCAGTGAATTCCAACTGTGAATGGTTAGAGAAAAAAAGAATAAGGGAAAAGCTATAAGAGAACAAAAACACTTACACAAATGCCGAGAAGGAAAGTACAAAAGAAAGTCGAATTTCTCTCTCTAGGAAGCGATTTTCTCCCAGTGAAAGCTGACAATGGCGAGAAAATCGAAGATGGGAGGAGGAGGTCAGAAGATCCAAGGTAATCAGACACTGAATCCAATGCGAACAAGAATACCACAATCGGGAGATGCGAAGAAAACGAAGAACATAAATGCAATCCAAGGGATTATACCTTTGGATATCAATTTGCTTTCCAATTCTGTAACACCGACGGGGGAAAACAAAAGTACTGAAGGAATTTCAATGAAGAATGGGACATCCTGGGCAGATAGCGTGGAAGAAGAAGCAGAAGTGAGCAAAATTACAGGTTCGACTACAACCCTAGATCCAAGTACTAAGTCATGGAGTAAGATAGTGGGTTTAATTCGAATAGAGGAAGGAATTGACTTCTTAAAAGAGAATACAGAGCTGAATGTGAAAATTACAATGGCAAACATTAAGGATGAGATTGATTATCGGACAACAGCTGTTCTTGTTATGTTTTAGGATCAAATCCACCACAGGTAGTAATGGATGGTTACTTTATGAGAATTTGGGGAGATTTAGGGATTGATAAAGTTGCACAATTGAATAGAGGAGTATTTCTGGTGAGATTTCATAGTGCAGAAAGTAGAAGTAAAGTAGTGGAAGAAGGTGTTCAAATGTTTGATAGGAAGCCAGCCATTGTGAAACCATGGAAGCCAGATATGGAGATAACAAAGGAACAAATGGAGAAGATTCCAATTTGGGTGAGATTTACAGGCTTAGACATCAAGTACTGGGGGAAAGTGGCCCTAACAAAGATAGCTGGGTTAATTGGTAAACCTCTAAAGGCAGATACTGCTACTACTAAAACGGAGAGGCTAATGTATGCAAGAGTGCTAGTAGAGGTAAAATTGAATCAACAGTATCCAATAAGTATAAAATTTGAAAATGAGGTGGGCAAAATAGTAGAGCAGGATGGCATTATGAGTGGAAACCTGTACTGTGTGAGAAGTGTAAGAATTATGGTCATGAAATTGTGGAATGCAGAAAGTATATACAGGAAGAAAAAGAGAAGACTGAACAACAACAAGTGATCAAAAGGAGGTAACAGAGCAGAAAGGGGCAGAAATACAGACAAAAGAAACAAGGGTAGAAAATAAAAATGTGGAGAAAGGTTGGAATCAAAATTATAATCATGGATATAGAGTAGGGAAGTATGTGAGGAAGAATGCAGTGGTACAAGACATACCTCTGAAGATAGATAATGCTTTTGCCACTTTAGGGGAGCAACTTAGTGAAGAGGGGGAAGTACAAGTCAGGCAGGGTAGCAGATAGTGACAGCGGGGATTGAAAATGTAGGAAAAAGGGTAGTTCAATATGATAAAGGTGGGGGGAGCCCACCAAAACATGGATATGATCGGATTCTGGAACACCAGAGGGCTAAATAATCCAGATAAACAGAAGGAGGTGAATCTGTTTACGCATAATTCTCAAGCTGGATTATTTGGACTTCTAGAGACTAATGTTAAGATAGATAAAGCTCAAAGAGCAGCTCTTAACTTGTGTAATAGTTGGTCATATAGTACAAATCTTAGTCAACATAAAGGAGGAAGAATTTGATAATTGTGGAAGCCTATGGTGTTTGATATAAACATCTATAAAGTTACAGAACAACTTATACATTATGGAGTGCAACATAGAGGTACAAAGAAGAAACTGGCAGTTACATTGGTGTATGGTTTTAAAGATGCAGCACTAAGAAGAAAATTATGGGAGGACATAAAGGAAATTCATGATCATATGGCAGAACCTTGGGCAGTCATGGGAGATTTTAACTGTGTTCTGCATAGAGATGAAAGAATTGGGAGCCCAATTATATTGTCAGAAATAAGAGAGTTCAAACAATGTGTTGATGAATGTACTTTACAGGGTATAAAATCTTCAGGGGCTTTCTTTACATGGAATAATAAACAGGGTGGTTCTGATAGAGTATATAGTAGTATTGATAGGGTGTTGGTGAAATGAATGGATATTGGATCTTCCAGATTCAGAGGTCTATTATAGAAATGAAGGGACTTTTGATCATTGCCCTGCTATAATAAGTTGGGTAGGATATCATAAGAAGCACTATATTTAGATACTTTAATATGTGGAGTTTGGCACCAGAACTAAGGAGAAGGTTAAACAAGGATGGAAGACAACAAAAAAAAGAACCAGAATGTATGAATTGGTAGGAAAATTGAATAGCTTGAAAGTAAACTAAGGCAGCTAAATAAGAAGAAATCCAATCAAATTTAGAAGTAGACAGATCAAGTACAAGAAGAGTTAATTATATGCCAGCAAAGTTTACAGCAGCAACCTTTGAACCAGCAATTGCAAGAGGAAGAAGCATGCTTAATTAGGAAGTATAAGAAGTTGAAGGAAGCAAGGAATTAGTATCTGAGGCAAAAAAGTAAAGTGAAATGGTTGGAACAAGGGGATCTAAATACTAAGTATTTTCACAGTATGATGAAAACTAGAAGAAATATGAATAGAATCTTCTCAATAACAGATTTAGAAGGAGTTCATAGAACAAAGATGGATGCAATTGCTAAAGCATTCATTGAATTCTACACTAGATTACTGGGCACAAGCAATAAGGAAAGAGAGCATGTAAATAGTGGACTGATGAGGCAGGAGCCAATAGTAACAGCAATACAAAGGGATATGTTAGAAGCAGAATTCATAGAAAATGAGTTTAAAAGAGCTTTATGGGCAATCAATGGAGAGAAGTCACCAGGGCCAGATGGCTATGGTAGTAAATTTTTTAAAGATAACTGGGAGATGGTTGGGAAAGATGTTATGGCTGCAGTACTGGAATTCTTTCGAACAAGAGAAATGCTGAAAGTACTGAACCATACAGTGATAACTGTGATACCTAAGAGCTCTCGTGCTACAAATGTGGGAGACTACAGGCCTATTGCAGGATGTAATACAGTGTATAAGGTGATATAAAAAATGATGTGTAATAGGTTAAGATTGGTGCTGCCTAAGCTGATTTTTGAGAGTCAGAGTGCTTTTGTTGCTGGCAGAACTATAGTCCTAAATATTCTGATTTGTTAAGACCTTGTGAGGTTGTATAACAGGAAAAATACAACTCAGAGCTATCTGATAAAGATTGATCTTAAAAAGGCGTATGATTCAGTAGAATGGACTTTCATGGAAGAAATGCTGCATGCTTTGAATTTTCCTCAAAAGTTCATTAAGTGGATTATGGCATGTATAACTACAACAAGATATAGCATTGCACTGAATAGAGGATTGTATGGTAATATAAAAAGGGAAAGAGGTTTACGACAGGGGGATCCAATCTCACCTTTGTTATTTGTAATCTGTATGGAGTATATGACAAGAATACTGAGCAAAGTAGAAGGAATGACGGAGTTTGGATATCACACCAAGTGTAAAGGGCTAAAATTGAATCATCGGTGCTTTGCAGATGATCTATTATTATTTTGCAATGGTAACTATCAATCAGTAATGCTTCTATTAAGAGGGATGCAAGCGTTTTCAAAGGCTTCTAGTTTGAGCACAAATGCAGGAAAGTCAAACATTTTAGTGCTAATATGCCAAAGCAGGATTTAGAAAATTTGTGTGAACTAACTGGCTATCAGAAAGGGAAGCTGCCTTTTAGATACCTGGAGTACCAATTTCAGCAAAGAAATTGTCAAGCATAGATTGTGAAGTGCTAATTGATAAAATGACTGCAAGAATAAAGGCATGGGGTTCCAGAAATTTATCCTATGCTGGGAGAGTTCAGTTAATAAATTCAGTGTTATTATAGGTACATACATATTGGGCCTCAATCTTTATACTTCCAAAAGAGGTGCTGAAAAGAATTACTGCAGTGTGCAGAAACTTTCTATGGGATGGGAGGGAACAGACAAACAAAGTACCATTGATTGCTTGGGATATGGTTTGTCGACCAAAGAACAAAGGAGGATTAGGGATAAAAGACTGTGTGACATGGAATGAGGCAGCAATTGCTAAGTATGTGAAATATAGCTCAAAAGGCAGATAATCTATGGGTGAAATGGATGGATCTTATATACATTAAAGGGGCATGCTGGAAACAGTACCAACCTCCAACTGATTGTAGTTGGTACTAGAAGAGAATATGTAGTGTGAAAGAAAAATTTAAGGATGGATATGAAGAGAATGAATGGTAACAAATGGGAGGAAGATACTCTATCCAAAAAGGGTATACATGGAGGAAAGGGGAGATGAATAACTGGCCTTGGGCTAGATGGATTTGGAATTCTGTTAATATTTCAAAGCGTAGTTTCATAAACTGGTTGGTAATACATAAAAGATTATTGACAAGGGAAAGATTGGGTAAAATTGGAATGTGCACAGACACAAGTTGTGGAATATGTGGGGAAGGCACGGAAACTCTGCAACATTTATTCTTTGAATGTCACTTCTCAAAGGAATGCTTAAAACTTCTGAAGAAGTGGATTGGACTGAGGGCAAACGTCTTAGGCATCGATGGAGTATGGAAAAGGCTAACAAGAAATGTCAAAGGGAAAATGTGTAGGAAATTGATCACAGCAGTGTTGGCAGCATTGGTGTACATGATATAGCAAGCTAGAAATGATGCACTATGGAATGGTAGAGTACCAAGTCCAGTGATGGTGTGCAAACAGATTCAACAAAAACCATAGTTAGATTAAAAGTGCATAACATAAGGAAAGAAGGGAGAAGAAGTAGGGAATGGATAGAGAGCATATACAACAAAAAGATAGGAAAGGATAGATAACAGATTTTGCGACTAGAAGGATTCTTCTAGTTTGTACAAATATTTGAATGTAATTCTGGTTTGGTTGGAGACTAAAAATATTTTTCTTTACACCAAAAAAAAAAAAGAAAAAACTTACACATCCCTCTAATAGTCATAGAGCTATATATGCTAAGCACTCATGAGTATTAGAAAAATGTGTGGAGATGAACATAGAAGCTTAAGGAGAACTTCAAAGCAAGCCAGAAATTAGAAATGGTTTTCTGGGTAGAGAATATTAAATAAAGAGATTAGAGAGAGTTTCTATTTGGTCGAGTTGATTCGAGTAATAAGCCATGATATCCAGAAATTTTTAACTTAAACTTTCTAATTCTTATACTTTTTTCCTATATGACATAGAAATTTTCTTCGCTCACTTATTTATAAAAATAAAAACTTTCTTATACTACTTTTGGTGTTTATAGTAGAGTATGATCCATTAATTATAGTAGGCGTTTGGACATGAATTCCAAAAAAAAATTAAATTTGGAATTTCACTAAAATTTGAATTGAAGATGAAGTAGTGTTTGGTTATAGTTTTTGCAACATATGTGGATGTCTTTTTTCAACATATTTTACAACTAAAGACTAGCAATCTTCCCATTTTCAAGTGAGATTGGAAAAATTGTAAGATTTGGATAACCAAACACAGTTTTAAAAAAAAATTGAAAAAAAGAAAAAATTTCTTACATTCAAACAGGCTCCTAGTTTAAGCACACTACTCAAATTCTACTCGATATCGAGTCAATAGAGTTAGTAAACTGTAATTGTAAAATAATTCTGGAGAAAATAAAATAACATAAACAAAAATATAAACGAAACAAAAGATAATCCGAGCCCACTGAATTCACACTGTTTCCTTAAGGAATTTAATCCCCTCCTAGTACCCAAGGTTATGGATTATTTCCTCCCAGGATAGAACGAATTACACACTGGTGTAGTGGTACTTCAAACCCCAGTGTTTCAGTGAACACAAAGTTCGGTAGCAAATCACACTTACTATTGCTTTCTTTGAAGTTAAAACAATGCAGAAGGAGGAGGAGAAACCCAGAAAATCGTATGGAAAATCTGAGAGAATGGACTTGTATTTATAGCCAATGTTGGGCTGAAATCTGAAGAGGTGCAACTCTTCAGAATGGCTGTTTATGCAAAACGGCCACAGCATAAAAGCCGTAACATAAATGGCTATTTACTCAACAATAAAGAGGGAAAATTGAAGAGGGTAGTTAATTTTCTGTTACCAAAACAGAAAACGGAAAAATGGAAACGGTTAGATTT